CCAACGATAAGTAACTTGGAACAACCCACAGTACAGCCAGTGAAGTCGGTGCTGCCGTCTATGATCAGCCTGGATCCGATTTCAACAAAGAACTCGGACGCAGCTCACGACAGTCAGATGATGACCACATCAAACCCTTTTGCCAATAACAAGCCAATTCCAATTTCAAGTTCAAGCGCAACAGCAAAGTCCACCGACACCACTACCACTGCGCAGTCGCCAAAGACTCTCAAGATCACCTCATTGCTTTCTCCAGCAGCAACCGCTCAGCCAGAGACAAGATCTTTCGTCGTGAGTGCATTGTCGAGCGCCCTAACAGCGCCTCCCACCATTAGCATACCGGAGTCGCCAACACATTTCGCCATACCACAGTTGTTGATATCGCCTAGAAGTGGCTCCGCTGGTGATCATCAAGTTCTGCTCTCGCCTAAGGCCCAACAGAAGCAACAATCACCACAAATCCCTGGACACCCAATGACCGCTTATACACTCAATGTGCGCGCGCCCTCGCCACATAGCCCAAACAAGCATTCGCCCTCGCCCTCGCCCAGAGGCAGCACCCCAACAAGACAACTGAGTCCTTCCAGCATGACAGTGGCATCAACCTCGCCAACACAAATGACGCAACAACAACAACAACAGTTGCTGCTACATGTTGGGAGCCAACGGACGTCGCAATTGCCTTCACAACCACAGCAGCATAGCCAAATGAGCCCGCCAAACGCAAATTCGCCGTTGGTCAATGTACCCACAGCTCCTGGCATTGCGACTCAACAGCCTACAAGCTCAGTTGGCAGCGGTGGCAACGCCTATCATTCGCCACACCAATTGCACAACATGGATAGCGCCCCTGCGGAAGCTGGCAATACGAAAAATGGCAGCTGTTCGCCAAGTACTGGCCCTTTGAAAATGCCAAATGCTCTGAGTCAATCGCCGCAACAGTCCGCTGCTAGAACAGTGTTAGACCAAAGCACTGGTAAAGTAATTGGAATGCTGCCGCTAACTGTGCAGAAAATGCCACCAATGCCCGCGCTACCGACCATCATCAGTAAAGTAGTGAGTGTGGCGCCACAACAGGCGCAGCAGTCCACAATGTCGCCACCGTTGTCCGCTGCTCAAATCTCCGCGAAAGGCGTTTATATGGCAAGCCATCAGCAAACAGCGGTTGCTCAACAACAGCATCAACTCCAAACACAGAGCTTGCAAATGGGTTCGCACCAACAGCAGCGGCATTCCCCGCAGATAATTCAGATGCCTACAATGCAAAAGATGGCGCCATATCAGCACCAGCAACCGCAATATGTGCAGCAGCAGCATTTGTTGCAACAGCAACGACAGCAAATACAGCAGCAGCAGCAACAACAACGCCAACAGCATCATCAGCAAATGCAGCAACAAATTTTGCAACAGCAGCAACAACAACAACATCAACAACAGCAGCAACTGCTGCAAATACAAAAATTGCAACACCAGCAGCAGCAACAACAACACAACAAGCAACTGGCAATGATATCAACACAGCACGCACAACAACAACAACAGCAGCAGAAACAACAACAACAACAGCAGCAGAAACAACAACAACAACAACAACATTTGGGTCAACAACAAAGACAACGCGTGTTGCCGACACTGCAAAACACACAAGAGTTACAGCCATTGATTCAACCCCAGCCACAACTGCCCCACCAACAGCAACAGCAGCAGCAAACACAACAACATCACCAGCAACAGCAACAACAAATGTCATCGAGTCGTCCTGCTATAAGCCCCACAAGTACGACAAAGGCAACTGGACACCAAAATTTGGTGACATTACGGTCCCAACAGTCCCCTGCGGCTGGTAGTGGCTCACAGAACGTAATACAATGCTCTGCTCAGATGACACAGAAACAGGAGCAAATGGCCACCGGAATCCATTCGCCCACACCTGCATCTACGCAGCTGTTAAAACAGCAACAACAGACGTCGACGAGTCAAACCACAGCCGCTGGCATGCAGTTCATGCCTAAAATGCAATCTACGGCAAGCTTGAAGGAGTCACAACAGCAGCAGCAAAACCCACCAACGGCTAGCAATCCACAGGTGTCCGATTTGAGTTCCTCGGATGTAACAAAGCAAATGACACTTGCAGTAGGTGCAACAACAACACAGCTAATTACCCCAGAAGCGCCCACTCCTACTGTTTCTGGCGTTGATAACAAACCGCCCACACCAAAGCATGGCGAAACAGTAGAACTTATTAAACAGTCGCAAAAACCAGCGCCAACTATGGCTCATGAGATGGCAACTCAAAAGCATGCGGAAAGTGTTTCTGTGATCTGCAGCGCTGAAAGCAACTCAGCAGCAGTGGAGAAAGAAGCTTTGATAACGATGGCTCAGCAAAAGAGTGATTCTTCAATGCCTGTGATCAACGCTGAAGAAGTTACAGTCTCAAAGGGCGTAGTAAAGACACTGGATTCGGTTATAAAGAAAGCCGATACGCCAGTTCAGAAACACGACCAAAACTTGTCCAAAATTGGGCAACGACCCGAGACTGATAGCGAGAAATCACCTACTTACATGTCTGCAACAATAAAAAAATTGTCGACGCATTCAATCGCGAAAGACGCTGCTACTTCGAAAGGTGAAGTACCGGCATCAGTATCACCTGCAAATATTGCGGTTGCGGTTAAATCATCGTCGTCCTCCGCAGTAAATGAGAGTGCTGCCAACAAACAATCGGCACACAATGGACCAGATTCGACAAATGCAACAGCAAGCAGCACTGATCATGAAACCGAAGACGAAACCGAGACAAAGCAGGGAATGAACATGCTGGAAGGGTCTATTGCAACCACTCTCACCCCCGGAGGTCTTGGCTTCGGGCGGCCCACTGCAAGTGCACGTGGTGTTACTGCAAAGCGCGGCCGTCAGCCGCGGGGCGGAAAGAAGCAAGCTGCCGGTATCGCGAATGCCCCACCATCACAACTGGTAGTACCTCCGCAGGAGGCCAGCGGCGTGCAAACCCGTTTACGAAAACCAGCAACGGCAACGCCGGCGATGCGCGGACGCAAAGGTCGCCCGCCGCGAAATCTTTTGGCTCAGCAGCAGCAACAGCAGCAAGCTTTACAACAGCAACATCCGAACAAAATGCAAGTAGTTCCGGAAGCTATAGACACGACGGGTGTTGAGAAGAAGTCGCGAAATCAGGCTGTCACCCTGAGGAGTGCAACAACTGCGACAGGGGGCTCAGATGTGTATGAGTTTCATGACGATTCTGGCGAAGAATCGAAGACTGCGCAAGCCACTGCACCAAGTACGGGTTCTTCAAGTGGCAGCGATGTGCGACCACGTTTGATTTTAACCATTAAACCTGGTCAAGCAGCACCAAGCGTGAAAGCTAGTGAAAAGCCAAACGCTCCTGTTGCAGAAGAAGCGTCTAACTCTACACCGCACACGGCGCCAATGCCCCAGCAACAAGCATTCTCTAACAACCCACAGCCTGCCGTTCAGCCCGTTCCAATTGAAGTCAACAAATGCGATATCCAAGCACCATCACCCGCAACCGCACCGTCAGCCACAACGCCACCAGGGCAGCTACCGGACATGCCAATCATGGATGCAGTTCAGGCAACTCCTGCAGCTGTTGTAGCACTCACGACTGCGGCAGCATCAACACCACAAAAATTGGATCAGGTGCTGCCTACCGCGCCGCATGCCACCATGAACGTAGCGGAAATGATTACCACTGCCGCTGGCGCAAATACCAGAAAATCGCGGCGTCTGCAGGAAAAGGACCGTTGCACAATCGACGATATCATTGAAGATGTGGTCCGCAATAATGCACCAGCAGCAGCTGCAACAGGTATTAACACCAATGCAATGTTCCCGAAGGGTGCGCAAACACCACCCAGACGGTCGGGGCGCAATGCAAGCACCAGCGTAAATCCGAAAAAGCCCGCTGGCGGGGAGACACCCACGCACACACCATCATCTCCGGCGGTAGGACGGCCGCGGCGTTCGAAAGATCGCAAAGGAAGCGTCGAAGCCATCGGCATCTCTCTCGACCTCTCAAGCGACACGGATGAACAGCATAAGCAGGAACAACGCACATTAACAGTTCCCACAACGGCACTCGAACAAGAACTATCGGCCGCCAAGGCAGCGAATGCTGCATGCAGCGTATCGAACACCGTTGCCGTTGCAGCAACAGCAACTACAAAAGCGGTTATGGGAACGGAAGAATTGGTGACGCAACAACCACACCAGTTACCCGCAGAGACTTCAGCTCAGCCCTCAACGTATACTGAACCACAAACGCAACCAATGTCGATGCCAACTCATCATGCCGTGCCACAGCACCCGAAAAAGAAGGCGCTTGCTGCAGCCGAAATAGATTCGTTCGTTGGCAGCAGCAATAGCCCTAACAGTACTCATGAAGAGAGCAATAATCCACCTATAGCGTCATTGCCAAGCGCTGACGTACCAGCTCGTCAGTCCACTGCTCTTGCAACGCAAAAGAAGGTGGACATAGTGAATAAAGCACTAATCGACCCAGTCACTGGTATAATCAGCGGTAATAATCAACAGGGTAAGGAGGCCAACCCGGCAGCGGTAGTTGCCACAGCTGCAGCCACCCTGGCCACTATGCACAAGACGCCTTTGGATGCGAAGAAGATGGTGCAGGCGGCCATAGCAGCGGCAACGGCAGAGAATGTGGCAAAATCGCAGGACATTCGCGGCTCGACTCCCCTCATAAGTAAAACTGCAACTAATATAATAAACCCTCAGGCACCACACATGGTTGTGCCAACGGCCTCAAATGCGGCTCCACCTTCTGCGGCTGCACCTTCTGCAGCCGTAAAACCAATACAGGGGGTGGAGCTTTCTTCGAAGCCACTGGGCACTCCCATTTCGTTGCTGAACAAATCAGCTGTTAGTGTCGTTGTTAAGACCACGACGACGCCCGTTATCATAAAACAACAAATTGTGCAGCCGCAAACGACAATAACGCCGGCGGTAACAGCTGGCAGCAAGCAATCCATTGTGGTGCAACAGAGTCCAGTGGTAATGCACGCGCAGCCATCAAATGTACGTCCGCCCACTCTGAAAGCGCACGTGCTTAACAGCCAGAAGACGCTACACCACCACCAGCAACAACAAACACAGCAACCGCATCATCTGGTGTCACAAGCCCAGCAGCTTGTGCATCAGCAACAGCAACAGGCGAAACATATTGTTGTTTCCAACACAAATCACGTTATTGCGTCCAATGTCATTACCGCGCGCCACACACTGCAGCAGCATCCACCGCCACAACAGCTGTTGGTGAACATACCACCACCGAACGCTCAGCAGGTAGCACATATAAACTCACCTCACATGCAGACACATGCGTCCCAGCATCAGCCGGCACAACAGACGCTCGTCATCAAGCAAGGACAGGCAATCGCTGGTCAGCAGTCAGTACAAGTGGTTAGCTCGAAGGCACCGGTTGGCGCGCAGATTGGAGACATAGCAGCACCACCGCAGCACCTACAGGCAGGAAAAACGCCGCAGCATACTGGAGCATATGTGCCGTCAATGGCTCAACAGCAGCATCAGCAACAGCCACAGATAACAGTGCTAACGCCACAGCAGCAAAGTCAGCTGATTAAGCAGCACCAGCAGCAGCATCAGCAACAACAACAACAACAACAACAACAACAACAACAACAACAACAACAACAACAACAGCAACAACAGCAACAGCAAACTGTGCTGCAACCGCCGGTCAGTGTCTCCATGGTAAGCCAACAGCAGCAGCAGAAGCAAAGTGTACACACTCAACTGCCACATGGTGTGACGGCTGTCCATCACCAAGGTCACAATAAAATGCCACAGCAACAGCTGCAACCACAAGCTCAACAACAGCAACAACAAACATCGTCCCTAGTAATACAACCAGGTGGCATTATGGGTCTACAACACCCACAAATGCTACTGCAAGCCAAACCACCGACGCATCTGCAAGGGCAACAAGTCCACCACCAGCAGATGACGCCTTCGCCGCCCTTGCAAGCTGGCGCCTTGCCAATTGCTAGTGGCGCTAAACCCACAATCGCTGGCATGCATACGATACAATCACAAGGTGTACAATTATTGCCGGGCAGTGTGGCAAGTCCTCCACCGACGGCGCTTAAACAGCCCGCGGCACAGCATCCACACAGTAATAGTGGCGTATCAGGTATGTTGTATTGTCGCACAAGAATGAGCCTTGAAAGTATTCTGCTTCGACTGCGTGCTTTATACTTTTTGTCTATTTTTGTAGGCAACATACGCACCAGCGTTCCAACTTTAAGTCCACAGGGTCAGTCGCGCATTGCACCACTTCTGCTGCCCACTGGTATGCCGATGCCGCCATTTGAGCCAAATATGGTAAGTTTAAAAGCGAACGATTACATTATTTTAAATATTCACATTTGTCCATATGAGGCGTTCTGACTCTTTAGTTAGTTCTTAGCTAACAGGAGGATTATTATTTTTTTATGATTATGAGACATCTCTGGTTTCGGTAGGGTTTTGGTATTAACCGTTGTAACAGTACAGTGGACGGCATGTACAATGAGTACTGTTTTCTGCACACGAACTTGCTTTGTGCCTGTTCCGTCAAAAAAACGTTATAAAGTACAAAGTATTAGCATTTTTTACGTACTGGGATGACTCAGGTTTTACCCGACCCCTTGCTGTTGTTTCGGCGTTAGATCGCCGATAGATAAGTGAAATCACTTAATCGTTGTTCGTCCATAGAGCAACACTTTGCAGCAGAGTTGCTCCGCATCTTTTCCCTCCAGTTTAGCATTGAGTCAAAGTAGACCACCAGAACACCTCTTCGGTTAGGTGCAGTTCTAGCAACGGATGGAGTCCCCTAAAAACCAGCTCAGGTCGTAGAGAGTGTGTCACATCTTTTGGGGGTGCATGTTGCTGAAGCCAAGGCGCAACCACTGCGTCCACGGCTTCCCACAACATGCGCGGGTCCTGCTCATCGGAGCTCACCCCAGAAACATAACTCTAACTCGGACTCCAGAACATGTCGAGCAAGATAGAGGAGACAACCGATTTATGGCAATCAAGCCAATCAATCAACCGTAGGGCAATAAACTTGGCTAAGCAGATAAACGATTTGGTATTCTGCACAATGTACGACGACGCCCCTACCAGGATTATGGTTAGCTGTAGCAGATCGCTCGATATAACAATAGTTAGCGCTGGTCTGCTAAAACCGGATAACATGGCATGTTGTCGTTAGCATCGGATCACCTGCCCATAATCGTCTCGTCACCTACCCACTTTGCTGGCTAACGGTTATTCCGCAAGGTTGTCACTGCATCTGCAGCCCGCTTACATTCCGCTGGGCGCATTGTGTTAATATTTTTTGTCAATTTGTGTGTGTAATTTATGTAGATATAATTAATTAAATCAATACACTACAAAGTGTAATCGCTATTGTGAAGAGCTTCATTAGTAAATCAGCTATAAAGGGTGATTTTCTCATAGATCTTTTTCAATATTAATATAAGCAAAATTTTGGTTGATTGGACGTCTTGGTACGAACAAAATGGAGGGCGCTTCAGCGTCAGAGTAGACAAATGAGGAAAAAAAACAATTTTATAATAGAAAAAGAGCGATGAAAAGTGCAAAAATGGACAACAAACGGTACTCAGAGACGGACGGAGAGACAAATAGACAGACATCAGACATTAAAAAATGTAACAAAAAATCCATGACAAATATATATCGGGACGCTAATACCTTTGCAAGGTATGCCCGTGCCATGAGGCACATTTGACAAAATAACGGGAAAAATTCAAACGGAAAGCAGTATGGTGGACAACAAGACAAACGAAAATGGCAAAAATTTCCAAACTAG